CTGGAGAGAAATATCAGCTGTGCTGCTGCCATCAACACCTTTGTTTCTAGATGTTGGAGCTTGGCCTGTTTTCCAGTGTAGTCCTGTTTCTCTTTTGGGTCAATCTGACTGGATGATCTGGTTGATTTGTCTCTATAAAGTGACCTGAGATGACATGATGTGAATTGACGCTATAGAAATAAAGTGAATAGAATTAGGATCCTATTTTCTCAGGAGAAAAACTTCAGCCAAATAAAACAGTCAGAAATTGATTTCATTTAGAGGTAATATTCAGAAAATAACTGCCGCCGTTCATTTCAAGCGTCTTGGTTTTGAACAAACTTCAGCAAACGTGTGAGGATGATGAAACTTACTGTAGGAGGAGATATCGATCTCCTCAGGCAGCTCGGCTACATTCACCTCGAAGCGGTCTTGGACTTCATTCAGAGTCTTGGCGTCTGTTTCGTCTGAGACAAAAGTGATGGCGAGGCCTTTGGTCCCAAACCTTCCGGCACGCGCTACCTGATGTAAAGAGAAGAACCGCAGGAACCCAGAGTCAGATCAGTTCATCTAGACGAGCCCCATCAGATTCTCCACCGAGAACAAGCACAGCGTGCACTGACTCTGTGAAGGTACGTGTCCGAGTCCTCGGGCATGTCATAGTTGAAGACAATGTTGACCCTCTCGATGTCCATGCCTCGGCCGAACAGATTAGTGGCCACCAGGATCCGCCTCTGGAAGTCTTTAAACTGCTGGTAGCGAGATAACCTGGAGAGAAACATCCGTACTGAGGAAAGCTACGATTCACCGTCCCACTAACAGAGACACGGTTAGCGGGGAGTGAGACGACTCGTCCACCATCCCACTAACAGAGACACGGTTAGAGGGCAGTGAGACGACTTGTCCACCGTCCCACTAACAGAGACACGGTCAGCAGGGAGTGAGACGACTCGTCCACTGTCCCACTGACAGAGACACGGTCAGCAGGGAGTGAGACGACTCGTCCACCGTCCCACTAACAGAGACACGGTCAGCAGGGAGTGAGACGACTCGTCCACCGTCCCAATAACAGAGACACGGTCAGCAGGGAGTGAGACGACTCGTCCACCGTCCCAATAACAGAGACACAGTCAGCAGGGAGTGAGACAACTCGTCCACCGTCCCACTGACAGAGACACGGTTAGCGGGGAGTGAGATGACTCGTCCACCGTCCCAATAACAGAGACACGGTCAGCAGGGAGTGAGACAACTCGTCCACCGTCCCACT